GGGGGGGGGTACTTGGAACGAATCCAGCACCTAGCTATTACATCAATTATGATGTCATCGAATACAAAATAATCTTGTTTGCTACCATTTTTTTTGTATTTTTGACGCGAGAAATCTAATTTAATATTATAACCTTTTTCTGCAACAGAAATATTTTGGTGCTTTTCTTTTTAACATTTTATTCACTTATTTTAACTTTGTTTTCAATTATCAGTACATAACATTTACGACGGTATCCGACTGGAAATGTTTCTGCACATCAATCAAAAATTCACACAAAAACAATTTCCTAGCTGTGGATAGCATGCTTCACATCATATACAGTATTTTTTGGGCATGACTCAATAATTTTGCTCATGAATATACACCCATAATAAGTAACGATAATGTTCAGAAACCCTCCATCTTTTGTTCGTTATCGACCTGTTGATCTCGAAAATGTTTTATGGCGAAGGGTATATTACCGTTATCATGTAATTCACAAGTGATTATTGGTGGGAGCGACATTAATATGCCGTCATTAGCGACACCTGCCAGTCTTGCGATATCACATACCCTTATACATACTGTATAGCCCAACACTGGATTATCAATATAGGTCATAAACAACACATTGAATATTTTCGTACATAGTTTTGGCAACTTTTAATGTTTATTTTATGCGAAATGTTTTAATTTTTGGTATAAAAAATGCATCAAAGGTATTAAGCAGAACATAAAATCTCCACCGTGGAATATTTTCTCAGTTGTTCATTGTAGATTTTAATATCAATTTAAATAGGGAAAATGTCACTGAAATTGATTTTATATATAGTTTCTTAAAAGGACACTTAACCACATTTTACAGATTTTTTTTACCCATACCAAGCATTTGTGCCAATTGCCATGAATTTAGTATTGCTTATATTTGAATTTCAAATGCATTTAATATTGTTTCTATTTAATTTCCTATCAATATTGAACCCTTTCAATTTGTTTTCTTTTCATCTGTAACTACATTGCAATTCAAAATGTAGGCTAGTGCAAAATTTGTAAATATTTCCTAAAAATTCCGGCATCATAAGAGTGCTATACACTACCTAATATACATTATACATCAAAATGTACATCAGTTGTGCATTACATTCTTGTCCAATATGCCTTTCAAAATTATTCAAAACTTGTCAATGAATATATTCTTGTGAAATTTGAAGAAAAAAAAGTAATTTTACATTCCGATTATCGTTTCTAAGATAGGGAAGATTCTTTTTACTACGAGTTACAGTACAGTAGAAGCACTTATAATACCCTGAAGTACTGTATTCTCTGAATTCAACACCCAAGTGTAGGCATCTATAAATTAATACAGACTGTTTCAATGGTGACAAAGTTATTTATGAAGATTTATTAAAAGATAAAAGTAAACCAACACCATTAAAAATATTAAAACTTTTGAGTGAAACTTTAAATTATTCAAATATTTCTATTTTTTAAATCTCTTCCTTGACGTTGACTCATGATTTTTAGTAGGGCTTTCCCCCAATCATACTTGCCCCTATTTCACGATGCAGTTACACACCTAACACTATGTAAATGCAGTACTAACTCAAACCGTCACTAAATCATTGCTTTTAAGTATACACCTCCATAACAATTTTACACCTGCATGATTTATGGTACTGTGAATTGTTTTACTTTCTAAATATAGAATAACTAATGTTATGATAACGCTAATGTATAACATAACTGTCACACAGACCCTAAGTCGGGTTCAAATACACTTGGTCATTATACCCATGTATCAACACGATTGATGTTCACAGCATAATTTGAATAGTCTAAAATCCCCACCTGCTATCATGCATTTTGAATACTAAATTTGACAGTGTCCCCATTATTTTGTAAAATGCATTTTTGTAAAATAATGAGCAAATTCCAAATGTGTATTAGGAAGGTCAAAATCCTTGAAACTGATGAAACTTGTTGGAAAGAGAAGGAATAAGGAAAAGTTTATAGCACGAATAAAATAGACATGGCATCAAATCTTTCATGGTTAATCTTTAAAATGGAAAATATGTATACAAAAGATGTATACAATAATAGACAAGACAATGATTTCCAGTCCCATTTATTAACTTATTCACCCCTAAAATTTTGTAATGAACCATTCCCATCTTTGAATTGGAAGAGTTCAAATGTGTCTTCAAGGGTAAATGAGTTAAGGACCTGTCCCAATGCACTTTTTTCCTATATACATTAACCTCCAGAAGTCCAGGGTGGGAATCCTGTGGGGTTTTTTGCACTAGGAACACCGTTGATTATATTTTGTTTATTTCATCTTTCATTATTTCTCATTAAATTCCCGCAAGGTATGGTTTTCTTTTCAGAAATGATTTATCAAAGCTTTATTCATGCTGAAAAAAAAACCCACCAGTGTCCAACAGTTCGCTACGTTTTCTGGCAGTGGTACAGGGGTCCTCAATGTAGGAAGGTCGAAACCACAATCAGTAGCAAGAACAGAAAAGTCCCATTAGAAAACCGCTTGTCAAACTAAAATACGACTCAAATCCAAAGGTGTAAAATTAACACCAGATTAAACTTCACCAAGAAACCCAGCTGTTCATCATAAATTACACGTTTATGTGGATTGTATATAAAATGTCAACAATTCTGAAAAGCACAATCTACTCGAGTCAATAACTTGGCAATAAAGTAGTCGATAAACTACGATAACTTTACACACATTCAGGGCACTACTGGTCAGGGCCCAATCATAAAACAGCTGTACAAGGGGAAATCGTGCTCCCAAGGGCCATCGGTACCTTATTTATCTAACCAAGGGAGGCAATTCACTACGGACATTTGATATTCAAGCAAAAGTATAGATAGGCAACAATACGACAACAGGTGTAATGTCCATGCTTGGCCCTAATGAAGCGATATCAGATAAGTTGTGTTTTTCAATGAACTATCTAGGACAAGCTGTACAAGTAAACTGAATTATCATGCAAATCAATAATGTTCCCCTCTCAAAATATATTGTCAACTCATCACAAGCTCTACCCAAGAAGCTTTGTAAAAAAAAAAAGTGTTTTTCATTTGATAGTTTTATGACTAGCTAATGTTTGCGATTCCTGGACGAGATTTACGCAATACCCTTCCATCACCATATATCCATCTATGAAGACTCCTAATAAATTATTTGACCTTTGACCTTATCCATGACCATGATATTTGATACCCGTGTCCTTGACCTTGGGGGTAAAGGCATCAAGTATTACAACAGTGAAGTCATCATCCATCAATATACCAGTTCCATAAAAATATACGACTCGACTCGACACAAGACATCCAGTCATGATCTACTTATCTACGAAACTCCCATCACAAAACATTTAGCTGTTTTGAAATAATGGACGGTAGACAATTAAGCAACTATACAAATTGTCACCAGTAGTTTAAATTAATTTCAAATTCGAAACGATTACAACCCTTTTACTCATTCACCTCTGAAACTAAACTTTGTAATGAACTATTCCAACTTTTGAATTGGAAGAGTTCAAACGTGTCTTCAGGGGTGAACAAGTACAAGATATATGTGCAACCTTCACTTTTGGTTTAGTGTCCTTTCTGGTGACCTTTTGACAATGTATACTACTGTTAGTAGATGTGCCCAAGGCCTCATCCAAATACCACATATTACCTTGGTCATCTTTCCTTTGCCCCGGGGGTTAGCCTTCGTCTCCTGAAATTTAAAAACATATTATTAATGAAGCATCAAAGTGACATTTGTCAAATTTCAGCAATCCGATCACGTTCCTACCTAAGCCCACAGGACTTCAACTAGAAGATGCTGTCCTGTAGATATCCCAGTGTTCTCACTCATTTATCTATCTGGGTTTTTTGGTACCCTCAAGGTTTGCAAAATGAGGGTACACCAGCAGATTTTGGGGGTACACATTTGTATTCGGGGTGGGGGGGGGGGGGGGGGGGGTACTGATTTTTGTTTTCTTAAATTATGTACATTTAATATGTTTTCATTTTGTAATCAATATTTTGTAATAATATTTAATAACTATTTATTAATAATAAAAGTGACTGCATATCAAGATCCATTCTGCAAAATGTCAGCCATGTTGATTGTTAACTTATTTCTCGTTTTGCTTACCGAGCAACTGTTTTTTAATACACTGATGAGGTAACAGCGCTGATGTTTGTTAATTTGTTGTACCTTCTATTAAGCGACGAGATGATTTAATATTTCTTCGTGATATCTGTATTCCGACTGATCATCAAACATTTTACAATCGAATTGCTCATGCCATTTGGTTCCAAATCTTAATATTTTTACGTTTTGCATTGGCAATTTTCCGGAGTGCCTATTCCTCCAGGCTTTCATTTATTAGCGCCGTCCGTTTGCTTTACTGCGACATAACGATTTACATATTAAAGCGTTTTCATGAGCAGGACTAGCTGCCGAGGAAATAGGGAAACCCTACAACTTTCGTTTTTGACTTCGACTAGTTTCTCTCACCTTTTGTCAATAACATTTTGTAGAGGCGAAATATAAAATTATTTTTGCATGTGCAAGTCACGTAAGGCAGTCAAAATCTGTATGCAATTTATTTAAAATATGTGCTAATCACACACATTTCTGCATGAATGGGAACGACTATATCCCCTGCCTGTTGACAAGTTAGGACGAGATACCTAGGTATAAACAGTATACTTACAAATTGTGAAGCATAAAATTTCTAATTCAGCACGATGCCTTCAGAAAAACAATACTTAAAAGTCACAACAATGATTAATTAGAGTGTAATAATTTATTAATTGCAATAATGTATCCTTTTGTGAAAGGCACTGATGAGCAAAATTGGTCTGGTGTCCAGTAATTGTACCCAATATTTAAACAATAAAAAACAGCTTTTTATAATGTATAGTTAGTTTTCAGGCAGTGGTATGGGGATCCTTAACTCATAACTTGTTTTACACAATGATCCCAAAGTATTTCACACTTACAATCAAATTTGAAGACATTACATTAAATCACAAATTTCGCTTTCGAGCCAGATGTAGAAGATAAAGCCCTTTTTTTTTTTAAATGAATACAGTCCACCAGTAATTTACAGAACATTTTTTATGATTTGTAAATAACACAACACATATCAAAATATCTTTGATCTGATGATCTGAATCTCGCAACGTTAGTGTGCAAAATATCGCAGATTAAAGTCCAGTCATTTCTGAATGCACCCGAAAGGCAACATGACTTGCAAAATAGCTAATGGAGACCAGACATGATTTACCGTCCTTGCATTGGACGTTTATGTCCACAACAAGACTCGGATCACAAATCTAACTGCACTTCAAATCTGCAGGTGTCCAGAAGGCTGATAAATGGGAGGTCGTCCCGCAAGCCCATGCACCGTATCCTAGAGTCCTAACTATTCACTTCATAACCTTAAGTCAATCTTTCAGTTTTTTAAGAAATTGATTTTAAACCATAAATTGCCCGAAAGCTTCTGGATATAGACATCTAGATCAGCAGGGTCAATATTCATGCATACAAAAAGAAAATATTTAATTTAACTTTGAATACATGACATTGATTGATACGCGAGATGTAAACATGAAAAAGAAATGGTGAGTTAATATCCTCTATTCTTTTGACGAAGTAGGGTAAACCGATATCTTAGTAACAAAAGTCGCTACGAATTATAATAGAAAGTTACATGAAAGTGAATCGGTTATAAAGTCACTGCAGTGGTGCAGGTCTTGTGTAAACCTACCAAGGCTCCTGAAGACAAACAAATGGTGTAAAGAGGAAAAATAAATTGTCTGTTGTCAAGATAAGTAAGGAAGGTCCAACAACACCTTAGAGCCAGAACTATTTAATTCATAAAAAGTAGTGACTACGACCTAGATCTCTCATTCATCAATGAAGTCGGGCTCTAACGGCCGTTTTCCCACTACACATGGCGATTAAATTCATATTTAACACACCGATAAACTTGTTTGTACAAGTTAGATTTTCTTCAATGAAACACGTGTTGCTGACAGCCGAGTTTCAATATTTTTCTCATACATTGTGCAACAGTTACAGCTTCGTTGGTTTTATGAAGATAAAAATAATCACTTCATGATCCATCTCAGAAATATCCACCATTGGATGCTTAACGTAAACAGACATTGTAATAAACCAAACTCTTATCATTTCAGCCAATTATATTAAGGACAAAACAGATACTTCAATAAAGACAAGATTCTTCTGTAATTGCCATTTCTTGTTAAATGAATGAAGGAAACAGTGTGAAAAAAATACTAACAGTACTATGTGAGATTATGCTATTATGTTTGAAAATTTTCATGGGTTGCATGCTGTACCAGCGCCATGGGATTTCTATGAATGGATACAGTAATGCTTTGTTCAGGCTGAACGGCCCGGCCCCTAAACACAAGGAGAATTTGGACCTCAAGCATCAAAAAGAAACTACAGACTACACTCCACCAAATGCAGCTACAAGCTTAAAAACAGGTACAACGTTTTATCAAATATATATATAAATTTAAGAGTAGTGTAAATGCTTCATTCTATTATATGTATACAGGCCTTTTTGCTTTTTTAAAAAGGTCTTGTAAGTTTTGTAAAATTCAAATATATTCAGGAGAGGTCTACTACAAAATAGGTAAAACATTATCAGAATCAGCACCCCCCAGTAACGTTACTAAATTGTACAGTTAAATAGAGCGATAGGTTAAAAAATTGTTGCAATTTAGAATTGTAGAGACATACTGTGGGCTTAAGTTAATTTCAACAATATAATGTTGAAGGGACAAGCACATATCTCGTGGGTGAGATTATATGATAAAAAAAAAATTAAGACATATTCTCTTTCTTAATCTAAAACCCGAGCAACACTGCGAGAGGTACAAGTCGTACCTGTGGAGAGGATGTGCTGTTTTCTGACAATAGGAGATTAGGGAAGAGTGAGTGAAGAGTTTCCCCTAGTGTACACACCTGTATTATACGCGTCACCTGTACATACGAGTATTGGACGAGGGGGGGAACCGGTGTAACATCTGGCCTTAGGTGTCGTCTCCTTTATGAATTTGATGAAATACATTTGACGCAAAAAATAATAATGGTAATGACCTAAATTTAAAATGTTCACCTTGTAATGCATACTTAAAGTAATTCATATGTATGAAATCTCCCTATTAAGGGCTCACTTCATCATTCACTTAGCTAAAGAAAAAATAGCAATATAATCCATAAACACCTGCAAATTCTCACCTTAAAAGCCAACCGAACACGTACCTGATGAATGTTGTACACCAAGCAAAAAGTAAGACTCTTCTTAACAAACAAATGTGCATCAAAGCAATATTTATAGAATACAAAATAATCCTTTTAACTTGAAGGACAAGCAAGTTGTCTATAAAAATGTTCAGCATATTTGTATCGGACCAGATCACACTTTTAAAGTTTGACCCTTGCAAGTCTCGAGTAAAGGTCAAGGTTTTTCAAATTCTGCAGCATCACATTACGGCAAGCTATTATCCAAATATGTCATTAGGATTTTCAGTTAAAACAAGGTAAAATATTGCAAGGCAATCCATAGTCCTGCACTGGTAATGATTTCTACATTTAATTCATATTTATGAAACCTCACTATTAAGTGCTCATTTCATCAGCTGTATGTACACCTATCTCAGGATATAGTTCAGCGTCATATTTCCTGTACTCCCATCCCATTCCACCAACAAAGACATGCATGCGTACCAAATCGGGTTACTCCAAGTGAAATAGTATAGAAGACCCAGGTAAATAGTATAGAAAATATGCCCCAAACTATTTTTAATTGGATAAAGTGAAAGATCAAGCACAGGTCACAGTGACCTACTTTTTTTCCAGGACGCTCCACCATCTAGGATGTACTTTTATACGAAATCTGGTTACCCCAGGTGGAATAGTTTAGAAGATATATACCACAAACAACAATTTCCAAGGGTTGAGGTAAAGATAAACCATAGGTCACAGCAACTTACTTTTTGTACTCAACACTTCATTATTCCAAGATGTAGCTTGCATACCAAATAGATATGCTCAGGACAATTTTTTGGGACGGAGTGCAAACATATTTCCCCATTTGACCCATGTAACCTAGAATATTGAAATCAAGGTCATTTAAATCCTTTTCAAAGTTTTATTACATTATATTGAAAAAAGCAAGAATCCAAGCTGATTTTAGGCAAGACGATTTCATGTTTCTAATTTTTTTTTTAAAGTTGTTTTTAGACAGCAAGAGTGGCATCCAGTCCTATAGACAGCCCCAACAGCCTCTGACACTACCTCAAGTCCTATAGACAGCCTCCGACACTACCTCCAGTCCTATAGACAGCCTCCGACACTACCTCAAGTCCTATAGACAGCCTCCGACACTACCTCCAGTCCTATAGACAGCCTCCGACACTACCTCCAGTCCTATAGACAGCCTCCGACACTACCTCCAGTCCTGTAGACAGCCTCCGACACTACCTCCAGTCCTATAGACAGCCTCCGACACTACCTCCAGTCCTATAGACAGCCTCCGACACTACCTCCAGTCCTATAGACAGCCTCCGACACTACCTCCAGTCCTATAGACAGCCTCCGACACTACCTCCAGTCCTATAGACAGCCTCCGACACTACCTCCAGTCCTATAGACAGCCTCCGACACTACCTCCAGTCCTATAGACA